GTTGCAATTAGAAATTTTCTGTAATTATAGTTGAATCATCGATTTTCGCTCTGACGCAATAATCAGCGACAGTTAACATTAATCGAATTAGGACATTTAAATTATTGCAGGACTAGATTTTAATTAATTTACACAATTGGCGTTATTTGACATGGAATTGTGTCGTTATCAATTTCAATTTGTGTTTGATATTCACCATTTTCAATATTGTATTAGCAGCGATTTTATTTATTTATATAAAGCTCGTTAACATGTGTTTTAGTAACTTAACTCCGGCACATGATTTAATAAAATATTAAGTTTCAAGTAGTAAATAAAGTGTCAAGTTGTTTGTGTTTCAAGCTTCATTAAAATAAATTATGAGAAATAAAAGCTTTTTTACACACACTATAACGGTAAACATATTTTTTCCAAATATTAATTTTGTAAAATGTCGATTGACAAATAAAAATTCATCATATTTTAACCCTGCACTTTCAATTAAAAGCGTTGAAAAATCTCGAAATCAATAACAGTGGTTTGACAAAAGGGTAAAGTTCCCCAATATCCAATTTAAATTTTATAAATAATAACTCCCTGCTCATCTTTTGTGTCGTATTGAGTATTGACTAAAGGCACAGTGAATTTTGCACAGGAGAGTCCTTTGTATACGATCGATTGTTAGGCTCCTTACCAGACTTGTTTAAACAAACTAAGTAATTAATTAGAGCTCAAATTACAGTTTGTACGTTATTAGGAACGTCTGGTGTAGGTATATTACGAATTACGCATTGTTCTTCTATTATTCAAATCTCAAATCAATCGGAGAAAAATATAAGGTTCTTTATTGAAATCGAAGATCACATTGTAGTAACATTTTTTGTTATGTATATAGGTCAAAGGTATTCAGAGTTGTGAACAAGATTTAAAAAATTTAAAAGCGTTTTCCACGTATTCAATAATACATAAAGCAAGAGGCTCAATCGCTTGCCGGCCTCGAGCCACTTCACATAATATTTACAAATTGAAATTCGATTTTTTTTAGGAGTAGTACGATGATTTATCAATGCTTTACAAACTTTTACTTAAATATATTATTTTTCTGATCTCGTTAAGAGTTTTCGTCAGGTTTATTGAGTGTAAAAATATTTAATCGTGATTTATTAAAAGAAATAATAATTAGCGTTCGGTGTAAAAGCTCTAAACGGGAGATTAATAAATCATGTTGTATAATTATTTTTAAACGTGTCGAGAGTTGCTATTAGAGTGTAATATAAGAAGATTAGTCTTCAAACGTCTTCTAAATTGCTTCATTTTATCTTTTAATAACATGTAGTATTATCCTTGCTATTATCATTTAATTACGTTTCGGTTCGATGTTCGAGATAAGCACCGTGTGCGCACAAAAAGCTCCTCTTCGAATCAATTTAAACAGACTTAATGAATCTGAATGAAGAAAAATTTAATTGATTTTCAGGTAGCACTGATCAAGATGAAAGCCCTACTACTATTGCTAGGAAAGCAAAAATTAACCATCGGCCATGTTTGGCGAAACTGGTCGTAGAATAAAGGACTTCAATTAAACTCGGCGTCAATCAGGATAATTCATGGCCAACCTTGACTGGTTATAAGCTACTTCTTTTATGCTCGATGCTCATCTAAAATTAATGAAGTACGTCAAAAGTAACACAGTCGACTATTTTCGAAAGATAAAAACGTTGAAACCTTTTGATTTACCAAGTCTTCACAGCTGGGAATTAAAAATTTAAAAAGTAAACGTACCTGAAAATGACAGATATCACTTTTGCTTGATGGGAGCTATTCTGTTTAAAATAATAATAAATGGATAAACGAAGTAATGTGACCTAGTTTTTCACGTCTTTCGTGACGGATGATTCCGTGCGGTGGAAAGGCAATTAGAAAAAAAGTCTTGTGTTTTCAAAGCTGCGAGTTATTTTTTTAAACGCAGATATATATTTTTATCTGCAAACGTCACAAAAGTGACCACTTTTATGACTAAATGACACAGGTAAAAGTTTTACTTTTCAGACATGGAGTAAAAACACTGTTTTTACGCCTAGGCGTTTTCACTTTTACTTGACACTTACTTTGACATTTACCACTGTTGTCTCTTTCTTGTCCCTTTCGCTTTTTCAGCATTTTCTGGAGAGGTACAAGGTATATTATCAGCATTCGACATTTTGCACTATAAACTACACCAGTTATTCACCAGTTAAATCAATCCACACTTGTGAAATCTCAACACAAATTCCGAAACTGACGCGTGACGTTTGTTATGATTTTATTGCAAAGCGTCCTGATTATTGAGGTGATTTACTTGATTATTGGTGTGTTGCTCTTTTCGTTCCATCTGAATCGTTTGCAGATAAAATAGTATATGTTATTTGGAGTAAAAGTGAGTTTATGTGGCTCAGCTGAATCCATTTGCCTCACTCCGTTCGGCAAAATGAACGTTCAGCTTTGCCACATAAACAATCACTTTTACTCCTAATAACATAATCTACTATTATTCAATCTATTTATGTATTTCTCGGTAACACATACAAGTAGGTATTTTCTAAAAATAAGAAATCTTATTAAGTTGATTTTAAATTTAATTTACAGCAGCTTATATACTAATTAAACTTATTTGTAAAGTAAAGGTGTAAGTACCTAATTGAAAAAATAACTTTTTTCGAAATTAGGAATATTTTTTTACAGAATTTCTAATATGAACAAAATCATAGAATACTATAATATTTTACGTAGCCATTATACCTGTAACAATATTGTAACTTTCTGGTGGTTTTATGTAAAGTCTTATAATAGAGATAGAATTTACAGCGAGAACAACAAGACAATAATACGTCGTAACCCTCGTTCTCTTCTCATATTTATTGTATACTTATTTCTAGCAATAATTTGAATAACAATACTTTAACTAAATATTTAAAAATTACTAACGAGTGTTTATTTAAATTTGATGTCATAGTTGGCGGTGATATAAGTGTGTTGTCAACAGACCACAATTTTTAATACGTCTGGCGAGTTGTCAAATGTCAGATTAATAACTTGTAAAATGATGGTTCGTTCACAATCAAACTTTCATGGATAATTTGACGCCAAATTTGAAAAAAAAAATCATCTGTTATAAGATTATATGATATTAGGTACAAACTGTCCTAATATAGTTTTTGCCGAATTATCAAAAACTATCATTTTTCACTTATGCGGTGATTTCATGTCACCCTTAAAATGTACATACCTAAGTAATAAAATTATATCTTCTTTTACACTATAAAACTTCTTTTTTACAAATACTACGATCTAAGGATTACAATTACCTACACTTTATTTAATCGTTATAGATATATAGATATGTACAGATTTTTTTCATATAAGTTTACGTTTAAAGTAATTTAAAAAATATCTAATACTTATAATTTACTTATAATTTTTAAAAATTGTATTCATTTTGTACTCAATATTAAAGAGTGCTTTTATCAACTAATTTCAGTATATAAAGTAGTCTTTTATCGTCTAGTAAAATAAAGTAATTTTTATCTAGTGTTTATATTCAAAAAATTTTGGTAGGTGAGTACAAAATAAAACAAAATATTATACACGACGATAAAGATTGTTTATCTACTCGTGAAAAAAGTCCACTCGTGACTTCGTCACTCGTAAATTTAACCTTTTCACTCGTAGATAAACAATTTCTTTATCGTCTTGTATAATAAATAACTATTTTTAATATTTTTGAAAAGGTACGAGTATTTTTTAAAATATTCGTAATAGAAAATTGCACACATTGCCGTCAAACACCAATAATTATTTATTTTACGGGTGTGAATCATTAATTATGTTCTGTTTTATGAATACTATTACACAATACTCATAATCATTAGTTGTAATGTTTTTATTATATTATATTTTACGACTACATATAGACATAATTTTTAAACCATATGTTATCAAGTATTATCTTTCATTAAGTAATTTGATACACTTTGAGCAAATCGAGTTATAGTCAGAATTAAAATTTTTTGTCGTCCAATAGGTCGAATAAATTAATTTTTTAACATTCAGAATTAACAAAAAAAAAACAGATAAATGAAATTCAATAATAATAATTAGAGATAAAAAGCTACATCCAAATTGTAGAAAATTGAAATTAATTTTAATAGATTATTGATTTAACTGCTTTCTCATCGAGCATCAAGCAATTGTCCCAATTTCCATTATACAAAATTTATGAATCTCGATTCCATCGTTTTAATAATTATCGTAAAAAATTAATTACAATTAATTTCAAAGCTCACGTTTATGTATTTTTTTAACAACTAGAAGATAAAGAAACTAAAAAAGTGGTTCAGTGTGTACCTACCGACAATAGGCATTAAATTATAAACAAAAATGTAGGTCTTAAAGTGAAGAATAATAATCATTGTGCAAAATGGCTAACTCTATAAAGTGGTAAAACTGAATTAGACACCCAAGTAAAACAAACAGCAATTTTTAGTTTACGACAACTTTAATTCAGTCATTTATCTGTATTTTACTTTTTTTTCAATAATAATTAATTCTCGGTAGTTTTTTTTTTTAATAAAATCGAAACTTTTAAACTCTCCGTTTCTTAAGTTCAGTTTTATTCATTAAGAATTTCAAAGTTCACAAAGAATTAGACACAATTTTAGCTAAAAAACTTTTATTTTTTGCTCATTTGTTTGCCTCAAATAACTATAAACAAACAAAAAGCGTAAATTTTCTCGATCTATTTACGCTCGTAAACTCCTTCGTAAATAATCCATTTTTTTATTAGTCCATATCTGAGAGGGATTTATGACTGACAAGCCCTTTTCCCGCGTGCAAATCATCTCCGAAAATCCAACCCAAATCGTAAAACTGCCTATTTAGAACACTCCTTGTCCAAAGCTCTCGATTTTCCTTCTTCGTGCGCATCTGTTACCATCATCCGAAGAGCAAGCAAGCCGCCGCAGTTCTATCAGTCCGTGCACAACTCGCGTGGAGTTCGGTCATACCCCACTCTAGAGCGAAGCGGCCGCAGCGTGCTTTCGTAAACAAAATCCGGGTGCTTTCACGTGATAAGTGCACAGATTGGGATATTTTCGCCGGAGTTTTTACATAAAGCTCAGGTTTGTGTCAGTTATCAAAGTTTCAGCAAGCTTTCGTCAAACTTGCTAATTAAAAATTTAAATCTTTCGGTGCTTCCGGAGACCGGATCAGACAGTTTTTTGTCTTGAAGAGTTCTCTGTCGATACTTTTTAATTAACTCGCCGAAGGAGGAATTAAAATTAGTGGTCAATTTAGTTTAATTATTTTTGCGGGGGGCGGAAGCATCCCTTAATTGTGTTTTGATTAGGCTCTTCTGTCGCCGCTTTTAATTGGCTATTATCAAAGTAATAAAGGGACGCACGGAATGATGTTTCAATTGAAAAATTAAGTTTGTAATTGGATCAAGCACAATTCTATTTTTTTCTTTAATTCGACTTCTAAACATCAAATTGAATGAGTCTCAAAGACTGAAAACTTGTTATCTCGTAATTTATAACTGCATAATGTCTTACGAGAGGAATAACACTAACTGATTAGTAAACAGATGCATGTATTGTCTCTGACAATAAACAATCACAAATGAATTAAGAGCCTCGTTTAAATAATTAATTACTGGAAATTGTCTTGTTCGTAATCTTAATTGAGTCGAATTAATTTTAAATCTTTGCGTTACTCTATTGTTAAGGAATTCGTTTTTTTGCATCTTACGGCTGTTCCATTATCCTTAAAAAGGACAAAACGATTGCAACAAAAAATTTAAACACGAACGCTAAGTAAATTAACAAGCAAAAAATTATTCTCGTTGGCTCTTAAATGTCAATAATGGCCCCATTATATCTCAATGCACTTGTACAAAAATCGCTAGGGTCTTTAGAATGGAAAGATAATATTCGGGTCTACCGTCCTGTCTTGAGTGGTGATTTATGAATGGCTGCCCTTTGCATAACCGAATTTACCAGCGGTCAATATTCTTCAAAGGGCCTGATGGGGCTTTCATTTCTTGGAAGAAACCTAACCCACTTAGGCCTCAACCTAATTAGCCCGGTCCTGCAATATATTTTTGATCGCGAATGAAGAGATTGCGGTAAATAAGAAATGATTTCTTTTGTACCGGCGTGTCGTAAAGTCGATCGTAAAATAACAGAAGGGTTTCTAATGAACCAAAGTGCTTTTTTCAGTAGGGAAGCTTTGCCGCGATAAAATTTTATTTTTTTATGTTTCCTGACTAATTTATTATAACATTTTGAACAAGCTTTGAGATGTTTGTTTTAGTTTGAGATTTCTCAGACTGATCACTAATAGCATTCGAGGAAAAAAATCGATAATTATAGTTCACCGGATTTTTTATGATCGATGATGGTCTGTTTCGAAATAATTTGTGTACCTGTGGACTCTGAAATTAATGGCAGATAGGATCCAAGGACATGGTTAGTCAAATCCTAGACAAAATTTATGCTCTGTTCAGATAATTTATGGACAACACGAAACGTATAATTTTTTCAATCCTTACTTTGAATCTACAACACTAAACTATGAGGTGTAAAATTGATAAAGATAACACTTTTACCGTTATAGCTATCAGAGTGAAACAGTCTTTTTCACTTACATAATACCGGTAATAGTAAATTTTCTTTTCTTGCTTTGTGTACATAAAATATGTAAAACTAATATTCATTCCGGTCACTTTGTCATTTAATACATCGTTGAAAATTTGTTGAAACTGTCACGCCAATCACACGTTAAAAACCTATAAAACCGTTTTATTATTTTCATTGTTGGATTTTTAATCGTTGGGGTTAAAAAACTTCTCACATGTGTTTAAATTTCCGCATTCTTGAAATTCTAGTTTGACATGATTTTTGATATTTTTATCTTTTTAAATGGTTGTTTTTAATGTCGTTAAGTTTTAACGACTTGTTAACTTCTGCGAATTTTGTGGTTCCATTTGAAACTCATTTACATCTCATTTTACAAGTATTCGACTATAAAGTTTAAGCTTTACTATCTACAGAAAGATTGAAATTTACACATTACAACAGTTTAACGATGTTTCAACAATAAGAATGGAAATTATGTGTTAAATTTATTGTGGGCACCATTTGTATACAATTAGATGACAATAGATTAGAAATTGAAAAGAATCCAGAATTTTTTATATTTGTGTCAATAATACAATGCGGGTAAATAAAAAAAACTAATTTAGGAGACACGAGTAGGTTTCTGATAGACGATAATTATAGAGTATTGTATTGGATTGTTTTCTTTTCTTTGATGGCTGTGTAATTTATATTTGTATAATGTCATGAATTCATAAATCTTATTTGTCGTCTACATGTGGCGGCATTGTTCCAAAGTTTTAATATAATATTAATATTAATGTTTATAATAAATTGCAATAATTGAAAGTTATTATTCATATTGATAATTTATTTCTTACTATTTTTTAAAATTAAAAACTATTGTTTCAAGTGAATAAAGGTAGATTTTTTTGAAATTGCATTATTAATTTTTTCTAACTCAACTAATACCGAATACCAGAGTAGTACTTAAATAATTTTTGCATTTTTTTAAAGAAATAGATTTCTGAAGATTTATTCATTTGAGTTTATGATTTTTATATTATAATATAACAATTGAATTTTATGAATTTAAAAATTAAATTAAAGCCGGGTTCAAAAAATGGACTTGGTTCCAAATTTCAACCACATCAGTCCCTTGAGCTGGAAATAATTTTAACGATTTGGTTTCAAGCCACAATAAGCACTTAGTTTTGTTAGTTTGGTTCATTAATTACAATTTTAAAAGTGTCTTTATCTTTTTTTAAGTCTACCGAAAATTTAATAAACTTCTACCTTTCTTCGCACATCTCCCCGTGCGTGTTAAATCCGTTTCCTCGTGTACCCTACACTTTTTCCCTTCAAAAAATCTCTAACTGCCAGTTTGTGTGATGAGTGCTCGCATTGTACCCTCTCGTATGCGTAGACAGGTCTACAATACGAATGGTCAGAAAGCACGCCACCAGGTCGGCCTTTCGATGTTATCTCGGCGTGAACTATTATTTGAACACGGTAACGCGTGTTTGCCGGATGCCGAGGTATTACATTAAACGCCGTTGACTTTTAATTGGTTTATATATCACTGCCTCTTCAGACGCCGCCGCTTCTCTAGGTGGAAGTCCGGCCCATTCGCATCGGAATCGCGTGTCGGAGACTCGAGTATATGCAAAGTCGGGAAATTTGGTTGCGCTTGATGTGGAAAAATTGCGATAGATTCGGTGGGAAAGTGTTGAGTTATGACCGGAGTTGATGTATGCGGGAAAATACGAGTAACTACAGATCTCGCAGCGATTTGAAAGGGAAATATGCGGCGGGAGGAAATTCGGGATAGTTTATGATGTAGTCGGGAGGTGGTGGGAGTTTTTATTGTCACGGCGAATAAATCTGAACTTGAAGTGAAAGGTATTGGGAATAAGTAATGTCTGAATTAAATACGAGCCTTGAATATTTTAAATAACTTTATAAATTATTGGAGAAAAACCTGACTGTGGCGTATGGTAAATGCCAACGCAATCGCTTGATTTAAACGGGAAGACCTCGACCTACACACGAGGTATACCTAGTGTTATTTAGATTTTGAATTTTGTTGTAATTACAAAATAGATAAAATAAATAATTAAATCAAGAATTGAGTTTTAATTTTTAACCTACAGTAATAACAATAACCAACCACCTCCGAATCAGAAATAAATTCTCGTTACAAGATCCGGATAAATATTTTTATTAGCTATAACTAATTGTTTAGTTGGCGTATGAAAATGGTGGCGTAAGATTGGCCGTCGTGAGTAGAATAACGTTCATAATAAAATAAAACAGCAATAAAGTCTTGCAGTAATCCGTACAATAATACACAAACGAAAGCAGACAAAAATAAAGTGTGCGCGTTACAAATTGCAGTGCCACGAACAAAATCCATTGTATCATTTTTATTTTTATTTGTGTCCATTATAATGCTCTCGTATTACAATGACGCTAGTCTGACAAGTGTATTTTATAAATCACACTCGAATCCACAAGACCATAACATTAACTCAAGTCGCGACGTTGTGCGCTATTTGCTCGACCAATATAAATACTTAACCTGGATGATTATATGAAAATCTCTTTATAATTCCATCGCGATTTTTCGTTCCCAAGATCGGGGTAATAACAAGTTCCAAGACAGGAATGTGTGTAATTATATTTTATTTTTGAATTCATCGCTTCGTTTACATAATTTTTATGATCCTGAGAGATGAGCGAATCAATGTAACGTAATTATTATTGCGGCTACAAATCTCTGAATGACGATTTGAATGTCCTAAATTACCATCAGTGTGACATATTTGTGGAGGAATAACTTCGCATCAGACGCAAATATGCATCGAACCAAACTTTATGATCGTTTGTTATTCTGTATGTTCAGATCTCGAAACTTTACGAAATTCATGAATATTGAGGACGCGGGTACATACGTACAAATTGGTGCGATTCGATGGGAGGAACTACAAAACAAAGAATTTTGCCAACAGATGCCATAAATTGTATTGTTAGTTTTGTTACTGCAACACTTCAAAAAATGAGACATAAATTGGAATATGCAAAATTGTACTTCTATGTAACATTCATCGATTGTAATTTAAACCGTTTCCAAACGTTCTTCCTTATTTTAATTTCCCACAGTTGGCAATTCCCCAAGGATTAACGAGGAGACACAAAACAGGGGAATTTCTAAAGATGTCATAATATACCCGGAGACAGACATAAATGAGTGAGTTCACGGAGCACGAAATTTTTAATACATCAAAGAAAACACCAAATTTTTAACAAGCCAGAAAACAAAACAAACTAGTCAGAGCATTGAGGATTATATCAGAAACTAAATTTCATATTATAAAAGCTTCAGCAAATTGAACATTGACTGTTACACAATTTTTCAATTTGAAAATTTTCACTGTTCTGTGATATCGTTTTAAATAAAGATTGTTATGAATCTATTGTTTTTATTTTGATTTAATTTTGATTTTTAAATTTTACGTTATTTT